AGGAGGCCATCATGACATTGACTGGGACACCTGGGCCCAGTGTGTGTCACTGCTATAAAAGCTTACACTCCTTTGTTTCCTATATTCCTCACCAAGAATTGCTTGCATTTAAATTACATTTTACAGACAGCTTAAAATATATTTTCATTTGCCTTTAAGTGTTTTAGACATGTCGTTTGAATATGTTATTATGAGTAAAATGGATTTTGTACATCCATACGTTTTAACATGCTAGAAAAACATGCATTCAGAGGGTGTCCTAGTTTTTAGCTTACGTCTGACGTCACTACCCTTTGTATGTCATGTCTGCTTACGTGTAAAACACAGCATGCGTGTTTAATCCTGCAAACATATTTACGTCAAAAATAACTGAATAAGAAAATGAAGAAAAATCATCCACGCCTGTGATTTTCTGTGCTTGGTTTAAACTGCAAACTGAGAGTTCATCAATTAAATGTCAGCGAAAGCAAAAGGTGGTGTAAAAACTCCAAAAACCTCACCATGCACAACGAGTCCAACATGCAAAAAACTGACAAAACACAGACACCTGGGAAAAATCAAACTCGACATTTAACAGTGATAGTGGTAGGACCATTTGAAATCATACTTGTTTTTTTATAGATAAGAAAAACCCACTTTTAGGTTATACAAATCTCCTTCTAAAATATTAACAACAAAAAAAAGCTTTTAATTATTTGCCTTCTCACCTTCATCTGCAGACGAGGCAGCTTGGTTTGACTACTATTCTCCTAAAGTGATGCTGGTGACAACCGCAGTGCACTTGACACAACAAAGAAATATGGAGCGAAAACTAGAGAGATTTTCCATCTTTCTGGATTCTTCCTGGAGTGAGAAGTAACGGGAACTGAAGCAGGAAAGCTCCTTGTATTGTGAGCCACCGCAGAACCAGCGGTGCTGTCAGTCAGCTTGGCGTGAGCTGCAGCCTCAGCCGAGGGGAAATTTTCCTCCCAGGCCTAACACGTGTACATTCAGCCAAGGAAATTATAGTGTGCAGTGCAGTAAAATGACATAATGTGAACCATGCTGAAATTGGGCACAGATGCTGCATGTTAACATTGTGGAAACGCTTAAAAATTCCTTTTCAGTCTCTGATCTTTTTTAGATAGTGGTACTGTTAAGTGGCAAGATCATGCAGAGGAAGCAGACAGGAGAGGCACTATATGGCAAACAATCATGCTTTTGGGACAAGAAGGGCAGGGGATATAGTGATTATGCATGTCAAGCTCTGAGTAATTTCTTCTGCTTGAAACTTGAAAAAGGTTTAACCAGGAAGAACATATACGGGACAACTTTTTGGCTTTCTTCCTTATTTTTGACTTTATTGTATGGAATAAAAATCCCTTTGTTTTCTGAACAAGTGCCAGTGCTCGGTCCAAATGGAGGGAGAGTTTTCAAGGCATAACCCACAGACTTTGAATGTGACCTGACACAATGTACAAACATGCAAAGAGTATCGATACTGAAACAAGGCGACATATATTGTTAAAGTTAGTGGAAGAGAAGCTCAGTCGAAGCCAAACATGTTGGTTATTGTCTTGTTGGTTGCTGAGTCTGATTCCAGGCCTGAGGTCTTTCTTCGTCTCGCTTGCATATTCTCCCTATGTACGTTTGTGTGTTCTTATTGTGTGCCTTTCTGATGGACTGGTGAATTCTCCGTGCCGTACCCAGTACCCAGCCTCTCGCCCAAAGACCATTTGAAATACACAAGCCCCCCGCCTCCCCGGCCAAGATAAGCAGGCATTGACAATGGATGAATGAACTGATGCTGTAAATTGCTAGCTTTAGGGAACAGAAACACCTGGCTTGGCCAGAAAACACAATCCTTTAGGACCTTACGTTGTCTTCAAATGGTGTCACTCTCTGATAAAACAGGACAGGGGGCATGTACAATGTTGAGCTTATGTGTGTCCCTGCTTTAAGAGGCATAAAATGACAGCTTTTCACTCTGATGATTCTGCTGGCCATTCACGTTGGCTTACTGTGGGGACTTTTTGAGAGACTTGACTTGCAGTGAGCCGTGGCTTAATGTTTTTAGTAACACCTTTGCCTTTCCTACCATGACAAGTCAAACTGCCTGCTGTGTAGAAAAAGGAGCCTGCTGCAGGAGATACTGCGACTCTGTTTATGTGATTGCCAAACCTGAGAACCATGAACGGCTTCAGGAGAAAGGAAAGGGAGGCAGACACAAAGACTGAGGCCTTTGTAGCAACCACTTACCTGAAAATGTGCCCAATTTGTGTGGGAAAAAAAGTCTTTGAAAATGGTTGCGTTTGTCAGAGCTCGTTCAGTTACACTGACAGTTCAAAATCCTTCATGTGTTGTGATTTGTTTTAAAGCAATGACGGACAACAAATGTTTTTTTTTGTTTGTTTTTTATGATTTTTGTTATCAATATAGTAAAGCACCAACTGAATCAATGTATTCAATTTACCTTGATCTATTTGTCTGCACTAAAAGCTTAATTTATTTTAAGACTTAATCGTTTAGTGACGGGCATAAATCCAGTCTTTAATTTGAAAATGTTTTCTTAAAATTTCCCTTAAGGCTTTTCTCCATTTTTACTAGTGGTGCCAATGTTTCTGCAAGGTGATATGACAAAACGGAAAGGGAGCGCAAGTTGGAGTAAATGGAAAGCTGGAAGTGGCAAAAAGGGACAAACCAGCATTAAAGCATTATAACTCACGGCATCAAAAATAAATTATATTAAGAAAATGACGCCAAAGTCTTTGATGAATCCAGATTCTGGACCTGTTCCCTAAATGAGTAACAATAAAAAGTGCTAAAAATGAATATGGTTCTGAAGGTTCCCCTTTCAAAAAGAGTTACTTTCAAGAAGACGTCCTACACACTGCCAAAGACCTATATTAGGCTCTGAATACTTAAGCAATGTCAGTGTAAATTGGACATAGTGGTAAAAAAAAAACAACAAAGCACCCCGCACAGGAGTACGGCCTCTTTTATTTATGTGAAACGTATGCAGATTGCTTGATTGAAGAAATAAAAAAAAAGAAGGAACAAAGTGAAACTAAAAACAAGAAAATTGTAAAAGCCCTTCATTCATTATAAACTTATTTATGTAGCTGACAAGAAGGAAAGGGGAAGGGTGATGAGCTGAAACCTGAAAGCTGGAAAAGCAATGCAGAGGCTGGATGACCTCATGCTAAATCAACACAGTAACACCGGAGGTACTATGTGAGCCAACAAGGACGAAACAGTGGAAGAAGTAAGAAAATTATGCACATGTAAAGAAAGACGTCACCGACAGTCAAGTACATGGAACTCAAATGGTGACAATGGTCTGCTGGAACGAGTGAAAACCTCATTTGAATTCATAACACATTCAGAATTCAGTGGCGACTTTTCCGAGGCTGAGTTTTGTAGAGCAGAAGTCTTCAGCCCTAGATCTGCGTGTTTCAGGTGTTTCCCTACCGCCACTTGATCTAAACGAGGTGTTCATTTGCGGATTCCTGCAGAACATGATGGGATCCCGGGGGAGGTAATAATGATCATTTGATGATTTTGGACACATCCGAATCGTGCTGGCTAGTGTTCCCTTAGGGACAGGGTTAGGGAACACTTCTGTTGGGAAATGATGAGCTGTTTGTGTCTCACCTGTCGTAGATGACCATCCAAAGTGCCTCGCATATTTGAGCTAATGGCCAATCGCAGAGGGGCCAAAGTCTGAAGCAGATCACTGCCATTTTGCAACAGATTTAGTCTAATTAGTGTTGGTCAATCATTACCGATAACCCATGTGAAACATTCACTACAGAATGAACATAAATGGGCACAGAAAACATCTCATAACAGAGCGACGAGTACTACTTAAAACCTACATTCTTTACAGATGACTTGACAACATTAAGCTTTTTTACAGCAATTTGAGAAGAATCATTTGCTCTCTAACAGATGTCTTCTGTTTTTATTTTGCCACCGTTAAGTGTTCCAGATGATCAAACAAATTTTAATTTCAGACTAGATAAAGCGAGCAAACTGCAGACTGAAATTATGGTTTCTTATATTGAGGGGGGGAAAAAAGGTTGTCCGAACCAAGCTACCCATATGTTCAAAAGTAATCGCCTTCCAGTCTTAACGACTAGTTGCGCCACCGTTGGCGGCGACGAAGGCTAGAATGTGTTTGCAGTAACTGGTGATGAGTCTTTTTTTTTTTTTTTTTACATCGCTGTGAAGGAGGTTTGGCCCACTTGTCTATGCAAAGCCTGTTTAAGGGAATGCCACTGCATCCCAATTGGATTTAAGTCCAGAACCTGACTAGACCAAGCCAATAATTGTTCGTTTATTTTGTTTTGAATAATTTAAAGGAGGACTTGCTGGTGTGCTTCATTTTCCTGCTGCATAACCCAAGTTCACTTGAGACTTTGGTCAAACTGATGACTGGACATTTTTCTTCAGGACCAGACAATAATACATATAGTTCCAATAAAAACAACAGGAAGAAGTCACGAAGCAGCAAAACAGTCCCAAACCATTCCACTATCAACACCATGCGAAGGAATCACTGTTCTCTGTTCATTAATGGCTGTTACTGCAGTTCACTTGAGCTCCAAAGGATTGGTTAAAAATCACCTTTTCTCCATCAGGTGTAAAAGACCTTCTCATGCATTTTTCAACTTCTTTAGATTATGTCATGATGTGCTGATTTTTCTTTGTTGGCCTAATGAAGTTAGATGGCAGTAATCAGAGCTGTTTGTGGCTCGTGAACTTTCACTTAGCTTTGCAAAAAATATCATGTTCTTCCCAGTTAATTCACTATTAAAACCAATAAGCAGGTTTTATTACTTTTTTTTAAACTTTGGGGTTAGGTTTGCTTGGATAGCATTTTTCCCCCCTTAATAAGTTCAGTTGACATTTTAAGCAGCATTTTGTATAAAGAAACAAAATGTAAGAGAGAAAATAGTTTGTACCTGACTGAAAGTGTATTGGAAAATAAATAAATAAATATATATATATATATATATATATATATATATGCAGTTTAGCCCCAATAGAAAGTTGACTGATATGAATTGGTAAAGCTGCCCAAGGCAACATAATAAGGCTAGGAACCCCACAGTCAATGCCCCTGTTGACATCAGTTAACTTGTCTGTCAAGAAGCCCTACAGGCCCAGTAATTCTGCAATTTTCTGCCATCTAATAACGCAAAGTGAACATTTCCATATTTGCAATTACCTGGACGTATTTGATATTATCCAAATTCTTCTTTTGGTAGATTAAAACGTGGACTAATTTCCGTCTCACGGAGATTGAACTGGAAGTGGACTCCGAGCGCCTGGAGCATCACTTCTGTCGGCTTTCACCACACGGTGGCCCCCCTGTCTCTCCTTCCCGACGCTCCTCCTCGCCTCCACCGCCACCATAAAGCTCAGCCTCCCTCCACCAACACCACCTCCGCCTCCTCCTCCTCCTCCTCCTCCTCCGCTGCCTCCCTCAGTACTTCCACTCTTCTCATCCCGTCTCCCCTGCTCGCTCGCTCAGAGCCACAGACGCTCCTCCAGCTCTGTGCAGCGCGGCGTGCGAACATGGTCGGCGGCTCCTGTGCTCGCAAGCTGGCCCGTCGGTCTCGGTCCGCCCTGATCGCAGCCCTCACCGTGCTGCTGGTGCAGACCCTCATTGTGTGGAACTTCAGCTCCCTCGACTCCGGCGAAGAGCGAGAAAACGCAGGCTCCAGCGTGCGAGAGAAGAGGGACCGGGTGGCGGGCAGCAGAGCCGCCGGCAGCGAGTATCTCCAGCGCGGAGTCCAGCAGCAGAGGCAGCCCGGGCGGCAGCAGCAGCAGCAGCAGCATCTTCCTCCGCCGGGGAGGGGGACGTCTCGTCACATACAGCAGCCGGTAAGACAGCAGCGCTGTGACCGTGTGGTCGCATCTTATGCTCGGTGTAAAGGACCTCATCGGGGGGAAAGATGTAGCGGTTGGTTGGCTGGGTGAAACATCTTCTGCTTAGATCCCTGTTTTTTTGTTGTTGTTTTGGTTGTTTGTTTTTTTTTTTGTTTTTTTTTTGGAGACAAACGCTCTGCAGGGCCTCTGAATGAATTTTTGATCGTTGTCGGGCTCCTCTGGAAGGAAATGATTGTCTTACATGAGCAAGATGCAAAGCATGCTCCCTTTTAGTCATCCAGTGCGTCTGTAGAATGAACGCCAGACTTCCTTTCTTCATATAGGAAAAAAAGAAAAGAAATGCCAAAGCAGAGTGAAATCAGTTCACTCCAGGGCAGTGTGGTTGCAGGGAAGGGCGAAAAGGGGAGAGAGAGAAAAAAATCCTTTCACAAGATAGCAGCTGTGAAGATGCCTGGACAGCAGAGCCACTGTCTGGGGTTGTAGTCTATACCTGTCAGGGTCTATTTGGTATTTCAAGTCAACAGTTTATGCACAGCTCAGCAGCACTGTCTGGCCAATGCCAAACTGAAACATAACCTAATTTGCAGGGTTGGTTTTGATGAGAGCAGAGGAATTAGAGTCGTCAAATTAAATATGAGGACAGATCTTCATACATATGAACAAATCAGCTAATATCGCAGTTTCTGCTGGGTATTAAAAGAAATCTTACAGTTCCATTCAGTCCATTGACTTTTGCTTGCTTGTTTTTAAATTTCCCAACAAGTTGTGTTGTGGAAAACTGCATAAACATGGGCCGAGTTTGGCTATTTTGGATGAAATTGTTGTTTTTTTTCTTCAAGTCTTTCATATTCTTTGAACACGAAACTGAGCAGTCTGTGTCCTTTCAATTTTGTTGGGTCCTATGACTCATACTCATAATGCTGTTTATTCCTCTTTCTTTGCAAGTTAATGTCTATTTTATTTGCATATTTGAGATAAGTTAAATAACTCTACTTCTGCTGGCGACTGCAGTCCTCAAAGGTGGAGCTGAAAATGAAGGGAACCCAGAGGGTTAAAAGTCTCCGTTACCTCCGGATTTCCCATACTAGGTCTTAAATTTGATCAAGTAATGTGTTGAATATGGATTATTCATTTATTGCTTCATAGTTCATCTGTTTTTTTTTAACAATAAATCAGTTTTTACTAAAGCTGGTTTGTTGGATGTTGCCCCTCACTGCTTGCTGCTTGTCTGTGCAATCAACTCCAGAATATAAAGGAACTCGTTTCATTGAGCAAATTTAAATAAATGTTAAACATCACAGAGAACTAAATATCTGGATGCAAATATTTTTAACTGTATTGAACTGTTGCTTGTGTCACTGGTCTCATCTTAGTTCTGGGATATTCTTAGTGACATTTTGTAACGTCTAACCAATCTTATGAGTTTTTTAATTGCTTTTTAGTGCTGCCTTTATGTGCTGTCGTATTTGCCAGGGCAAGCTTTTAAAATGATATTTTAGGATTCAAAGGGCTTCCTTTGTTAAATAAGGGGAACAAAATTAAAACAGTTAAATGTTTTGGCAATCACTGTAGAAATGTTCTTTGTATCTCCACTATAAGAAGAAGAAGCTTATATTTAACTAGGTTTGGCTTCAAAACCTAGTAATTTCATTAGTTACTAAAACAATATGTAGCTGAATATTTAACTTGTTTAGACTATTTTGTAAGTTAAGCTATTAAATGAATGTGCTATTTCTTATAATTAATGACATTCTTAAATATAAATAATGTCACAAAAGTGCTGAAAAGTTTCAAATTCAACTGACAAAATGTCACAGAAACCCTGTCATTGATTTTAATGCATCTGTTTTATTAGCATCTAATAACATTGCTTAATCACATTATTAAATCTTCACTTCCAGACTGAAAAATTAATTGTATTTAAGTGTCATGCACCTCTGGCGTTCAGGCCACACGACACGCCACGTACAAAACAAGATGGCCGCGTACAAATCCACAAAAACGGCGTTGCGTTTTTCAACTCAACCAGGGCACAGCGCTCGCTTTCTCTCCCAGGCTTTTCAGACAAAAACAAGAAATGAAAAAAGGTTCCTGTCGTGCATCAGACTTAATGTAGCATCCTCGAATAACCAAAATACACCTGCATCGCCCCTACTTGCACATTCAAATGGATAAAAACTTAACTCATAACACAGGGGACAGCAAAGAACCAAGTGATACTGGCGACAGGATCACTTGAGGCACCAGAGAGGCGAAGGCTGGCCAGTGTGGTCTGAGCCGACAGCCGAGCTGCTGCAGATCGGGTTACTGATGAAGTTAATGCTGGTTCAGATTAAAAGCAGTCAGATAACAAAGTGCATCGCAGTGTGTTGTGTATGGCATTACGTAGTGGTGCGGATTTATCTGATACACCAGTCTTCTCTTCATTCGGATCTTGAGGGAAATTAGGAGAAATTACAGCACATTAGGGTGTTGTTATGATGCGCTGCACTGAATTACTGGGCTGCACATGAATTACATAACAGCAACTCCAGATTAGTCACGTTGGAACCTTTTCGTGCTGCGTCCACACTAACTTATCCAGTTGTGTTTCATTGTTAAAACGCCTCCTTTTCTTTTCTCGGCGCTTTGGTCATCCGCTGCTGCTCATCTGTTTCAGAACGTCAAATCGTCAAACCTCTTTGTGATTGAGAGAAACCAATCAGGCTTTGCCATGACAATATCAGTCTCTTTCAGATGTGATGTACCGATTCCAGTCATTAATTCTAGGAATTATATAAAAAAGGAAAGCAAAAGTGCTTCATGTTCTTGGGTAAATATAGTAGCTTTGAATAGAACACAAATTGAAGGAATCCCAAGATTATAGAAGATGTATGCGTCAAATTACGTGCCCCTAACACTCACTAAAAATTATCTTTTGGCTTTGATGCATTTAACGATTAGAAAAAAAATACTGTAGAGATGCTACGATCAGACTTTTCCTACATGACACCAATTATAGGTTTTGGTGGAGATTTGATTTGACCTATTGATTCTGTATAAGGAGTATACCACATCAGAGGCGAGAAAAATGTGATGGAGGATCTTCAACAGAGGTAATAACTTTTTAATCCACCAGAAAACAATGCCTGCAGGACATATTACATAATATATTGTATTGAAGAACAATCTGAGATATGATGAATTTAAAAAACAGGAAGGTTGATACCGAGTTCGGTCTTTCTTTGAGAACTTCCCAGCTGTTTCCAATAATGACAGATACAGAACTTATTTTTCCACCTGTAATACAAACATGAGGAAAATAAATGTACTGCAGGTTCCTAAATTGAAGTAGCAGTTTAGAATACAGCATAAACCCAAAAAATAAAGGATTGCTATTTATGAATCATCTCTAACTTTTATCCATTTCTTCTTAAAGTCAAAAACGTGAATCATAATGCAGGTTTTTGGTTGATGCATCGATAGATCAAAAATTGTGAAAGTGCTTCTCCTAGCTTTTATTTAACAGGAACAATAATCAGTATTTTCAAGATCTGATAGGACAATCTAGAGAAAATTGGCCGTTTGACTCTGGCAATCGATTAATTTATCTCCAATGCAATTTTAATATGTCACTCTTCAACAACTCACGGACAATCCAGGAAAAATTGACAGACTGATTGGTTCATTTCTTAAGAATTTCGATTGTAAAGTCTGTACCTGCTGATCTCTTAACAGAGGTGGTCAACAGGAAGTTAGGTGATGTTGATTTCTGACTGATTCATTGGAACATCTCTAAAAAAAGAATTAAAATTTCCACAGAACCTAACCCTCCAGATTAGACAACTCCAGCCTCTGGCTCTTTCTCTCTACCGTATAGTTCTGTAACCTCCAGATTGGACATGCACATACTTTCTCCTACCTAATCACCTTGTTTTCATTCCCTCTTAGTTATGAGAAGCATGCATGTCTGAGTGCGTCTCTGTGAGTTGGCAAGGCCGCCTCGCCTTGTGTAAGACTGCCGCATGAGTGCCAGCCGATGCTATATGAGGCAGTGCGTCTGAGGAAAGTTCGAGCAGCAATTCGATCCAGAACAGAACGAGCCAGGAGCTAGACTTTGACAAAAGGCAGCATTTCTACATGATAACTGGTGTTACATGGGAAAATTATGCAGATCTTCAGATGTGTCATCCCAGCAGGCAGAAGCCACAGCTGTCATTAGAGCATATTTCTTGTTTTTTTTTGTTTTTTTTTTTCGTTTTTTTTGTGGTTTTTAGGGAGCTACTCCTTGAAGAGTGTGCAGAGTTTGTGTTTTCACACAGGCTTTGACTACCTGTTGAGCATTTATCATCCCGTAAAAGTTCCATATTTATTAATTAGCCTGTCGTCTTTATTCTCACATCGATTTATTACAAGAGTTAATGTCACAATTGTTATTAATAGGCTTGTAAGGGTGTGTGTGAAGAAGGAGAAACATGCCCTCGGCAGCAGATTGAGGAAAAGCCATGAAAGTCTACACATCTGGCCATCAGCATTTTCTTTCCATCTGTCCCATTACTCCACTCATATTCTGTCATGATCCCCATCTCCCAGGCGTAGCGGGAGTTCAGGCTCACTCCCGTTGTTAAGATTTCTCCTCTTAGTCATGGTAATACGTGCAACATTTCCCCTGATGTACATGTTTTCCATTGCATCAAGTTTTCCAAATGGTCTCCTATGGCAGTAAAGGCATCACCAGCCATCTGGTTCCCTGTGAATTTTATTCTTCTTTTTAACTGTTTCCACAGTATAATAATGGCACACGTCTGCCTTAACTGCGAGTGATTACAAGTTATGATATTAGGGCGTTTGTTTTCATGCCACACCTCACTTAGCCAGACACTTGTGAGGTGAAGGATTTGTCTCTGAGAAGAATGGCTCATTGACTGAATCCAGAGAAATACATGTAGATTTTTGTACCTTGTTATTTATTGTTATTTTGTACCTTTTTAAGGTCATGCCATAATATCACAGAG